TATGCGTGCACACATACTGTGAGAATTCATGAGCAAGCCTTCTCCAAGAACACGCACATATTCCGACTCCTGCACGCACACACATGCCACATGCAGCCACTCATGCACTCCCCCTGACAGAAATATCTATCAGTTAGCCCACAGTCAATATGCACTCGCACACACACACAAACACAGACACACAGGTGCGCACAAACATGCCCAGTTAGATAATTGGTGACGTGCTGTATACTGCTCAAGGTGAACACTGAGTAAACTAACCTCTGGCTCTTGGAGGATAAACTATTCAATCAAGTCACATCAGGATCACACAACATGGTGAATGCAAAAGAGATCAGGCAGATCACAAACAAACACGAGTTAACTTTTTTTCTAAGAGGAACCATTTGGTTGTTTTTATTTTTTAAAATCCCTGCAGTCGAAATGAATTTATTGCTTACACGAGCTGCATTTTACATAAATTCCTCGCATCCATGTTAATGACTCACTGAATATTGGCCTTAAGCCATGTATACATTTTTTATTTTGCAGAAAATGACAAAAAAGCGCAATAATAGTCTCATGAAAATGCAATGGAAATTTTATGTAGGTTGCAAGAACCAAATTATGCAGCAGTTCAAAACCATAAAAAAGATTCATGCTTCTAAGTGACAGGCGCTACCACCAGCTTCATTACAGTTGTTAGCTGAAAAATGTGCTATGATTTCAGTTGCGCAGAGCACAACAGAGAAACCAATAACGGGAAAAAGGCTCTGAATGTTTCTTGATGCTAAAACTGTGTGAAAGTTTCAGCCAACATATTCGAACCTTTTGTAAAAATAAAAGGAAGCAGGAAAGAATTTAGTGACACCTACGTGTCTGAGTTTTTAAGCAGCTCAGGCTGAATTATCCTCTTGACTGTATTAAAACTCACACGAATTGGGTCAAAGGGCCAGAATTCTAAGAATTAATAAAAAAATCATTGATGGCGTCTCAGTGATACACTAAGAAAGCTAGTAGTTAATAGCTAATTTCAATATCAGCAATGCTGTCAAAAAATTGACCCATTAAAGTATCATTCCTCATGAGTGATGACCTCAACCTGAACTCTAACCCTACACAGTCAAAAGTTTAGCTTTTATTACATACTTCTATTAAGTCTTTGTAATCTCTAACAATGAATCTAATCATTCTCAAATGTTGAAAACTATTCATATTTTTAAAAAAAAAATCAGTTTTGCCTTTTTCCAAAATAAATGCAGCTGTTTAGAGGCTGCATTAAGTAATCTTTACGCTCAAGTTTGCACTAGGGTTGGTTAAGTTTAGCATTTCATGAGAATTAAATGATGAATAAAGCTCTGTAAAGAACAACATACCTGAGGACAGACTTATTAGAAGTCAGCCATCTTACTATGTGAACACAGAGCCAAAATTGTGCGTTTTGGGAAAACAGCATCAAAGGACCAGAGAATGCTCACATAAATATAGGTATAGTTTTCTGTTTGGTGTGGAAGAACATCTGAAATTACAAATAATTAGCCTGAGTCAGATGAGCTCAGAGGCATATCTGATCAGAATTAAGCTGTTATTACACTGATGCTGACATATTTCAGCTTTGATGAGACTTGATGTTCATAGATATAAAACGGATCTGTTGTTGAACACGGCCAGGAAGGATTACTGGGTATTAGTGTCACTCTAATGTGAAATATGTAATACCAGAGGTGGTGTTGCCAAGGTTGTAATTTAAGGTTTTTTTTTTCTTTGGTTTTTTTTATCTCGGTGAGCCTTGGATGTTGGAGTGTTTCATTAAATAGCTGTGAAGAAGAGAATTTCAAGCACAATCAAAGGCTATTATTAGATAAAATGAGAGACGATGTCAGTCAAGAAACATTGAGTTTTTCTAGGTATTAAATATTTACATATGCTTATGTCCTTAGATTTTGCGTTGTAAAATTTTGGTGTTGCCTCAGTTTTGTGTTCTTAGCAGACAGGCGCGGCACCCCATGTGGTCTTCTGCTGCTGTAACTCGTCTGCGTCAAAGTCAACATGTTGTCCGTTCAGGTACAGTCGCCCAGAGATCTGCAACTCACATCCTGGATATTTTTTCTTTTTTTGGACTCTGCAGCCAGCTCTCTGAGATGGTAGCTTGGGAAAATCCCAGTAGATCAGCAGTTTCTGAAAAGTTATTTATTGCAATTCAAGTCGTTTAAGTCCGATGAATACCCTGAAATGGTAGAAAGGTAAGTGGTGAACTGCCAGAGGTTAAAAAAAAAGGTAAGGTCACGCAAAACTGGGGGTTTGGTTTAAACAGGCTTTTTGTTGAGATTTTTTATTAAATAACAATTATATATTTTAAAACTACCTGTTTATTGTGCCTAATTGTAGATTTTAATTGTTATTATGGCACTCAATGTTCTTATTCTTAAAAAATCTTTCTGTGTTTAGCACGTGACTGCATGTCTGTGAAAAGGACTTAATAAACTGCAAGAAATTGTGGTGGCAATATAGCTATTTGTGGACTTGAACTTTGGCACGCTGTGAATGGGAGCAAAAAGTTGTAGATAAATAGCATGTTTGTTTAGACCAAAAACAGGTATGCCTAATAAAGTGCCAGAGATCGTGCAAGATGAGGGATGCACCCACTATGCTACTGGGGTGACATGCACCATCCCGCTGACAAAACAGACATGAGGCAGTGGTAAGTGTACCACTGAGGGCAACAGCCAGACTGTGGTGAAACAAATAATATATACTGGCATCGCTGCTTTGCAACAATCCCACTAATAATAATAATAAAGGCAGAGGTGAATAACATATACTGGGATTCACACTATTAACTAGAATTTGCAATTCTGGGAGAAACTGCAGTGGGATTAGCTACAAATTAGCTACACGCTGTCAATGGGAGTAAAAGGTTCTAGATAAATAGCTTGTTTGTGTAGGGTGAAAACATTTGTGCCTAATAAAGTGGCAAACATTTCCCAAATTGTTATGTAAGTTCATAACAAGAAAGAGAACATGGTGAAAAAACTGTGGTCGAACTGTGAACCTTTAGCTTCTGAAAGGCTTTAGAGCAGGAACTAACCCACTAAGCCAACCAACAACTCACAACAGGCCAGGCTTGCATGTCCCACATGAGCCAGCGGTAATTGTGCCACAAACCGTGACAGCCTGACTATGGTGACGATCCAACCCACATATGATACTAACGTTAGGGAGGCGTGACATGAGAAAACCCCCTCTTTTCTCTCTTTGAGAGAAGTGCTGCATCCTGTAGTGACACACAGTCAATAACTTTACTGTAATGTCATTTCATGCAGCACATAGCTCTATGCTGCTTGAGTCTGAAAAGCATCCCTTGCTGCACTTGAACTCATAACCTTCAGCCTACAAAGGAGGACAAAATGAGCAGAGGCTTTACAACTACACTACCAAAGCAGCAGGCCAGGTGCCCATTCAAAGCTAAATGCACATCTCAGAAACTGTACAAAATTGTACAAATCTGAAAGCAGCTCAAGAACGAGCCACCGTTTTCAAATGAATGTCTTAAGTGTGTGAGACTGGTTATCGCAACAATCCGACTAATAAACAAAATGGCCGCCAACAAGAACGTATCCTGGGTTACTTTGTAACAGTCCCACTGATAAACTTGCCTTACTCACTTGCTTCACTTAAGTGTGCACACGAGGAGCTGCAGTTTTGGCATTTGTGCACTGGCTTCATTTTTCAGCCCTGGAGGCGTTCGCTTGGAATAACTATGTGTGGATTCACTGACTGAACTCCACCGCTGCCAATCTCTTCATTCATTCATCATTTTAATTAAAAGTGAGCAATTCAAAATGCAAATTCACGCTTTACATACATAGCATGCCAGGATAGTCTTTTTTTATGTAAAGTAAAGTTAGATATGCACATTTTTCAAATCAACTTCTTTCCCAAGCCTGAGCTGTTTGAAAGGGCAAAGAAAATGACTGCCTGGCTGCTCACGGTATCATGAATACCAGCAGAAACTACTATTCAGATAATCTGAGTTAACAAATAACCAGACAGTCTGTGTTTTATCAAAGTGGATGTTAAGATTTGCAAAATTTGGAGTGCACAAGTTGAAATTCTCAGATGTAACGTGGTAGAATTTTGTGTTATTAGTGTTATTATTCAAGCCTGTTTTAATATATTACTTCAGTATGTGTATCCAAACTATTCAGTGGCAATAATTAAAGACACTGCTATCTAATGACAAACTTACTTATGAACTAATAAGAAAAAGCAGTTTTCCACTTTCCCCCCTGCAGAACTAGTACAGAGCCGATGTCTGCACTGGCGGATTTTAACCCAGTAATGTCTAAAGAAGAACGCTTCCAGCTCTGGAACCTTCAGCATGCTACCAGAAGTGGGACATCATAGCCAGCACAGAGGATGCTCAGCCAAAACCACAAGAATTCAACTGTATACACAGCATTTCGGTATTTGTCTTGTAAATGGCAGCAGATTTCATCATCGTGCAGTATGACAGCTCAAAACTTCAACTTGAGTCTGAGTAAAAGCCACACATCCACTTCCACCCAAATGACAGATTCAGGAAACGTATTAAGCCAGGGAAGTCTTGCACAGCTGTTGCCCTCAGCACACCTTCCCAAAAAATTTCATTCCAGCCATGCATATGGATTAGCACCTGCTGCTATGGCAACAGACATTCTGCTTCGCCGGCCAGGCTAGTTTGGCTAGAAATGTCTTACCATTTTCTATCTAAAAAAACTAAAATAAAAAATCCTTCACATATGGTTGCTTTTCACAGTCAAACACCACTGGGTACTGTCAAGTGCTCTTGCTGGAAAGTGCTTCAGTGGGTGAGCCTTCAGCTAAGCCTGGCTGCCCCGTCAAACCCAGCCCAAAGCACTGGACTTATTAGAAACTCCATGCCTCACTAGAACTGAATAGGAGTTAAAATGACAGTTGTTCTACACTACAGTGTAAGGGGTTTTCATATAAGGGAGGGCAATTTGAACTGACTCACTCACCTCTACTGTAGTAGCTCCAAAGAGCAGTGGGTAGAGAAGTCCTTCCCACTTGAGGACACTGTCGGTTGCGTGGAGTGTCTCTCCTCAGGTCTAAATGCCAATGAGCTCCTCAAAAACTGTCCTTTCTACTGATGGATGGATTTCAGCTTGTTCACTTGTTTGTGGAAAACTCTCTGTGGCCCAGCTGGATGACGGGGAAACAGGTGTTGTTCCAGGAAATGGTTCTTTCTCTGCTAGCCGGGGCAAGGGATCTCAGAAGTAGAGCTTTGACTGTTAAATGAGAACGAGAAAAGAGGAGCAAGGCTGTGTTAATAAAAGTGAAAATTACTTTCAAGTCAGACGAACATCAAGGGACAGAGGCAGCCATAGATAGAGATCAAATCAATGCAAACCTTTAATTAACCAGAATGACTTGATTAGGTGCACATACCAAGAGCCCTTTTTTCCTGATTGAACATTTTTGTTCTGATGTTTATTAGTAAATTCCATACCAGATTATAACTAAATCAAGTCTAATTATAAGTGTGGAATGTACAGCATCTTACTCTTACTGAGTATTCAAACTTTCATCTTTCACACATATAGCCAACTTCAAAGACCTTAGCAAGGTTCAAATATATGTCTATGATATGAGGTGAGTAGCGTATAGAATTCAGTTTTACCTAATTTTCATTCGTTATTTGTCTCCTGATATTTCCTCCTTAATTCTACAACACAAATATGCACATTTTGCTGCACAGGAACATATCCATAACTTTTCTATGAAGGTACACATAGGTACAGTGGGGGAAATAATTATGATCCTTTAAAAACAAAACTACCATAACAAATCAGAGACTGCTCATTCCTTTGTGAGCAAACATACAAATTCAGGAGGGGATCAAATAATTATTCGCGTTCATGTAGATTGAATCCCTGGGGATAGAAATGTACGTTGATACTGGTTTATTGGGGTGTTGAAATAACAGAATAAACTGTCAAAAGAAGAAAGCAGATATTGGAGTCAAATTGTTTAATATAGTCATTGTGTTTCTTAAATTTGTAAGTCGTAGTTCAAGCAGCAGATCAAAGACTGTCCTTTGTCTCTGACCACCTCTCCAGCCAGTTTGTTGGTGGGGGAGGCTGAAGTGTTTTATTATAGGCACATCCCATCTGAAGGTTCTGTTTGTTGCTTAGTAAACGTCCTGCTTTTATGATCCTTTTGTGGGCAGGAGGTCACACAAATGTACCACAAACACAAACATACACACTCACACACACACACACGTCTACACACACACACACATTCTCGCACATGCATACACGTGCTCACACGTACACACATAGTGCCTTATCTTTTGTAACCATAGGGGGGTTTTACAATGGGAGGTGCTTGTGTGTATTGTAACTGTTTTCAATAAAAGGGGGCAAGTGGAGGCCAGAGCCGAGGTCGTCTGTGGTTGGATCCAGAGTGCTTTTCTGAGACACCGACCGGGGCCTCCCTTGCTCAAGTAAAATAGATCGATCGCTGATTGTCTTGCTTTCTTCATGAGGAATAAGTTTCTAAACCAACGGTGCCTGTGGAAGCGCAGACCGAACAGCAGACATCTAATTTAAGTGACACTGTTGATTGCAATGCCCCAAAACTGCACCAGTGTAACTGACCGTACGTCAAAAGCCACTTTCTTTGTGTATTTCTGCTGGAACAAAGATAATGAATGAATGAACATATATTTGCATAAGCAAACGGACTCACTTTCTATCCTCAACATCCTTTTTCCGATACATCCACAGTCCCTGCTCTGAACAACCTCGCCTCTCTAACTTTGTCTACAAACTGCGTGGCCAGAGGTCTGCCTGTGATAAACTTGTTTCCAGCACCACCTGGTCAGTCCCTCTGGAAATCTTCACATCATCAGCTCTGCCTGATATCTCTTTGCTAGTCTACCATACATCATAGCAGGTCTCACTATCATCTTGTAAACCACCCCTTGGTGCTGCTATCATCTGTGAAAAATCACCCTTGATACTCGTCCCCACCCGCTCCACCCTGCCTGCACTCTTTTCTTTACACATTGTGCATTGTCTGTTACTTTGGATAGTTTACCCCGGTATTCCATCTCTACCTATCTTCACTGCCTCTACTCACTGAAACTTCGGCATCTTCCCCCATCTCCATCTCATTCACAGACATGGATTCTTTCTCGCCTCCAGTGATTTTCATTCCTCTTCTCTCCAGGGCATGCCTCCACCTTTTAAGGCTCACTTCCACCTGCCCCCTACTTTCACTACAGATTACAATGTTGTCTTCAAACACAGTCCAGTGTAAACCTAAATAATAAAGCATGTTCATAAATCAAGGAATTATTATTAGCAACCAGTGCTTATGTACAATCAGAACTGCTCCCAACAAACATAGATGTTTACATCAATGCTGTAACTGCAATAAGTTAATTAACCGATTCGCATTACAACCTGGTTTGCCTCTTACCTGTAATTATTTTTATTTAATTTAATAACTGTACAGTACTCTCTGTTTATAGTAACCATTGTCCTTAATGTAAATATGTAAGAAAAATTGTGTATGTTTCTGTTCTGTGTCCTGTGTACTGTTTGTTTGTATATTTGTCTTTTTGGCTGCTGTTACAACCAAATTTCCCCTTGTGGGACAATTAAAGGATTATTCTATTCTATTCTATTCTATTATGCTAGGAGTTAAAACAATGAAGCCTTTTAAAGCAACATATACAAATGTGGAACATTACAACAAATTATGCAAATAATATTATGACTGTTTTCCAAATTCAAAGCTAATTTCTGATTTGATATCTGTTTTTGCCATCCATCGTCATTTGGTGGTGCCCTGTAAAGCTGTTACAAGTCATATGAGTTACAGTTGCCAGGATGACGCTGTTTTACATCCCATTTGGGTTAAATGAATGACTTGTTAAGCAAAAGGAAGCCCACTGATCTGTTGACCAGTGATGGCTCAGGAATTCCTACAAGTTCAAGGAGCTTTTTCCTTTTCAGGCACTTACTGAAAAGGAAATGGCCCAGACACGTCTACTTTTACAATAAATATTACTTATATTCTTCCCGATCTTCAGTATGTAATGCTTATGTCTTATGTCGCACTTTGGGCGATTGTGTCACGAATCCAAGCTTGCATGGAGTGACACAAAAAAAAGAATAGGATTAACCACCATCCTGTGCCGTACAAACACACCACACACAAAAATGCATCTGCTGGGGAATGAAAAAAAAGGTACTTGGCCCACATAAATGTCAGAGCACACTGATGCAGGTCGGCGCCAACTCATCTGGTGTTAAAGGGGTGGGACCACAGCAGCATCGGAGATATTAAGTGTTTTCAGGAGGGAACGAAGCTGAATATCTTTTTTTTTCCAGCTGCGTGCAAATCCTCTGGCTTTATGTAAAGGTTAGAAGAGGCAGGGTCAGGAGGTGGGTGCATGTGTGTGACAGAGAAAAGAGAGAGAAGAAAGGAAGGGGTAAGAGGGAGGATCGGCTTGGCAGATAGAGGGAATAATACGTTAAATGTCAGAAACAGGAGACTGCTGCCTGTAACCTCAAGAAGATGGTGGCCTTGACAAAGTGGGAGTGGCAGAAGCAGGAATATAAACCGACGACAGACGACAAAAACGGGGGAAAATCATAAATCTTGTGTGTGATCGAGGCCAAATTCTAAAAGAGAAACACAGGTTTTATGCACTTTAATTTAGTGTGGAAATTAGAAACAACGTAGCAAATATAGCTTCATAGGGCCTAGATTTGAGAAAGTGTAACAAAATAGAAGGCAAATTAAAACGAGGTGTTTAATAAGCGGGAGGAGAGGAAGGTGATAGAGTGTGTATGATGGGAAAAATAGGCCAGTTTTTTTTCTGAACTCCAGCACAGGATGGGAGAGAAAGAGAGTGTGGATTCAGGCTAGAATAAATGGGTGAAAATTATGTTTTGATCCGCCGCAGTGCCCAACAGTCAGCTCGGGGGCCACAATCCATCAAGGAACAGAGGGAGAAGAAGAAAAACGGTGAGATGCAGCACAGACGGATGAAAGGGAAGATGGACAGTGAAGGACAAGAGCGAAAAAACTCAAATGGAGTCTCAGAGAGAATGAAGACTGAGAGAATTCAAAAGTGAGGGCAGGCTGGTAAGTACCTGAAATGAAGACCTATCCATGCACTATTAAATGATTTACAAAGATCAGTAACTTCAAATACGAGCAACAAAAAAAAGGTTAAATTATGAGAAAATAACTGCAACAAATGCTGGAAAAGTTCACCGATCAGGGAATGAAAGTGCTAATAACATTCGAATTCAATATCTTTGTACCTCTTGATCTAAAACCCAGTTCCTGCTGGTTGATATATAATTTCTTTAGCTGTCAGCGAATCGAATCAAAGCAAATCAGGGGTTCTGTATTTAGAGACTTCCTAATTGGCCATTACATGGCTCGGAGTGGTAGCATCTAAACTTCTGAAAACTGATCATTAACTGGGATAATGTGAGTGGAAGGCTCGTGTTTTTTCATGTGGTACCACAGCGCGAGGCCGTACAAGAGAAGAATCCGTTCAGCCCAATTACCCACATTATTTTATATGAAATGTTTATCTGTTTGCATTCAGATTTAGGTACGTGATTATATATTAATATTATTATGGCTTGGCTTGCTTCTTCATAGTTTTGCTAGCATGCTAATTAAATGAATCTCGATGTTCTATTCAGTTACAGATGTAATGTTTGAGCTAAGGTTTGAGGATCCTCACAACCGTAAGCGTGCATTTTTAGCCAGACGCCTTAACCCTCAGCCCAGCTGCACTCAAGGTTATCACCCTACCATTGTGCCATAGGGCAAGAGGCGGGGTACAACCTGGACAGGTCGCCAGTCGGGTCGCTAACATGGACAGACAACCATTTGTACTCGCATTCACATCAATCTGGGCGATTTAGAATCACCAGGTAACCTAACTCCAGTAACTCCATGTCTTTGGGCTGTGGAAGGAAACCAGAGTACCCGGAGAGAACCCACACAGACATGGGAAGAACATGCAAACTCCACAAAGAAAGACCCTCACTTTGAGCCCAGGACCTTCTTGAGTTTTTCTTGGAGCTCGTAGCGAGAGTGCCAACAACAGCATTGCCAGGCTGCCCCGAAGAAACTATGCTTACTTAATTTCCCATAACCATGACTTTTCCTAATGTTGTCCTTCCATAGTTATTGTGTTTTACCATTTACTGAAGCTGAAATGTCAAACAATTTGTCATTAGACATT